TAAATCTCCCACCTCCCCTACAGCACCAGGCAGCCCTATGCCTTTCATTCAACCTGGAAAAAAAAAAGCCAAAACCAGCCGCTCTAGATCCAACTCTCTCACTTCCACCGACGACAACAAAATCAACACCTCGCTTGAACCTACAGTCGCCTTTTTCAGCGACAGTGAGAATACTTCAATCACCCTGGACCAATTTAAATACTTTTTGGAAAATATTAGAAACCCTAATATTAATATATACACATTATGCGACGAAATTAATTCCAACATCTCGGACATGCTCGACTTGACGGAAAAAATATACCCTCTAATTACAGATCGTGCAATGAAGTCCAAAATAAAAATTTTATCCAACTTATTGTTTAAGACCCTTCCTCCCAACTAATTCAACCACTATCACTTTTCACATCAAGCACCTTCAAACCTCCTATACAATCCAAATGAAAACAAATATAATTCAATGGAACATCAACGGGTTCTTCAGTAGACTTGAAGAGCTCCAGATACTAACCAAAGAACTGAACCCCGCAATAATATGCATTCAAGAAACCAATTTTAACGAGAAAAGCAATCCCAAATTTACGCACTACGATATCTATAAACGCAATCGCTTCTCGTGTATCAGAGCCAGCGGTGGCGTCGCAATAATGATCAACAAAGATTTCCCCAGTGTCGAACTCCCTTTAATCACTGATTTCGAAGCAATAGCCGTTTCAGTCAATCTGCCTCATACAAAACTAACCATATGTAACATATATATCCCAAACAACAGAGATTTCTGCCTAGATGACATCGAACGTATCATAAAACAACTGCCCAATTCGTTCATTATAGTTGGCGATTTCAATAGTCACAGCGAGACCTGGGGATCCTACAAATCGGATCGCAGAGGGAAAATCATCGATGAATTACTTAATAACGAAAATCTAATGCTTCTCAACAACGGACAACCCACAAGAATCAACCCTATCAACGAACTATCATCCGCAATTGACCTCTCCATCGCAAACACTTCTCTCGCGCATAAATTAGAGTGGTGCACTCTACCTTATACCATCAATAGCAGTGATCACATCCCCATTCAAATATCCATCAACCACCCACTCGACGACACACACCTAGTTTATCCATCTAGATGGTCTATCAGGAAAGCCAATTGGGATCTTTTCTCATCTCTAATAGAAAAAAAAACCGAAAGCCTCCCCACCCCATCACCAGAAAATATAGATGCAGACGTAAAAGAATTTACTGACATTATAACAGAAGCAGCCTTAATCACAATAGGTAAGTCTAAGAGCAGCTCCCCAAGACCTCGCGTCCCATGGTGGAATGAAGAAATAAAAAAAGCTATCCAAAACAAAAATAAAGCTCTCAAGAAATTCCAAATCTCCCGATCGCAAGTGGACTTCATCAGTTTAAAAAGGACAAGAGCCCTAACCAGATATCTGGTTAAGAGCAGCAAATCTTTATCGTGGAAACAATATGTGTCCAGCATCGATAACCAAACTGACTCCTCAATTGTATGGAAAAAAATCAAATCTATTAGAGGTACCAACAGAAACAATATCCACTTCCTCACGGACTCTAACATCACAACATCTCCTAAAGAAGTCGCCAACACCCTGGGACAAATGTTTCAAGAGAATTCTAGTAAATCCATCTACGATCAGGAATTCTTATCCAAGGCAAACATATACAACAACCCATCGAACACAGTAGATCCCCATAATAATGTTCAAACCTACCTCAACTCACCTCTACTCATCACAGAATTGGAGGAAACTCTCCGTAATTGCAAAAGCAAAAGCCCCGGCCCTGACGGAATCCCCTACCTATTTGTACAAAACCTCCCAGCGAACGCAAGGACCCATTTAATATCAATATACAATTCAATTTGGAACAATAATTGTTTCCCCAACACATGGAGACATGGCCTCGTCATCCCTATTTTAAAACCCGACAAAAACAAGTTTTTACCCGATAGCTACCGCCCTATATGTCTTTTAAATACGCTATGTAAATTACTCGAGAAAATGATTAACAATCGTCTAATGTGGCACCTGGAAAAATCTAACTATCTCACTCCCGAACAAAACGGTTTCAGACGCGATCGAAGCACTACTAAGAATATTTTAAACATTAAAAATGAAATCCAAACAGCTCTAAAGAATAATCAAAGTTTAGGATTGATCAGTTTTTACATTGCTAAGGCATATGACTCAGCTTGGAGACCCAGAATAATCCACAAGCTCAACAAAATTCTAACTAAAGGTAACATGTTAGACTTCATAAATAACTTCCTCGGCACCCGGACGTTTCAGGTAAAAACCTCAAACACCCTATCCGACATATTTACACAAGAGAACGGTGTACCACAAGGTTCCACCATTTCAGTGACGCTATTCCTAATAGCCATCAATGATATCTCCGAAGGAATACGGAACCCCAACATCCCTCTTTTATATGCTGACGATTTCAATATCCTATGTCGCAGCTCCAACAGCAACACTATTCAACATATGCTACAAGATTCGACCAACAAACTTGAATCCTGGTCAAAAACAGCGGGTTTTCGATTTGCGTCGAACAAAACTAGCCTCATACTCATCAACCAGAAAAGAAAAAAGGAAAACATAGCAATAAAAATGGGTAACCACACCATCAAGAACCAAACTCAAGTCAAAATCCTTGGGGTAATCCTCGATTCTAAAGCTTCATGGCGCCCATACATACAACACATACGAAAATCATGTCTTTCTAGAATTAATCTGATAAAAACACTTTCCCATACAGCGTGGGGAGCACAAACCCAAATGCTACTGAAAATCCACAAAACACTCATCCTTTCAAAAATAGATTACGGAGCTTCTCTAATCTCCGCCGCCAAACCATCTCACCTTAGAACACTGGAATCAATACATAACGCAGGGATCCGACTCTCCATTGGTGCGTTCAGATCAAGCCCGATCAGTAGCATACTCAGCATTGCCGGCATTCCACCATTGGACATAAGATGGTCTGAACTAACATCCAAAACCGCAGCCAGAATGGCCCGCTCCCCCCAAGGTCTTCATTCCTCCCCTAACCACATTTTCAACAATTATAAAAAATATGATTTAGATAACATAATGACTACTGAAATCAGCATATCCCCTCCGTGGCTTATCTCGATGAACATCATCCTGGACTTACACCAACTCCCCAAGAAATATACCAGCTCCACTCAATACAGGAATCTCTTCACGGAAATACTTTCATCTAAACAGCAACACGCACTTATATACACGGATGCCTCTGTCGTGGTAAATCGGGTTGGAATGGCCATCATTCATGGGGATACACATATCCAATGGAAACTATCAAACAAATGCTCCATTTACACAGCTGAAGCACTAGCCATCCTAAAAGCTATTGAGTTTGCAACAAACAAAGTTGAAGCCAAACAAATCATTATCCTTAGCGACTCCCTTTCCTCTCTCATGAGTATCCAGAACCAGTGGAAACCTACTGACTTAGCAAGAAAAATTCATAATGCTCATTCCACCGCTACCTTCGCCGGTAAACAAATATCCTTCATGTGGATTCCCGGCCACTGTAATATAAGAGGAAATGAACTCGCTGACAAGGCTGCCAAACAGGCCCACCTAGCCAACAACCCCCTTACGTCACTGGTTTTTACATACCAGGATGTTAAGAGGATCATTGCTAAAGAGGCACACAACCAATGGGAAAACAAATGGGCAGCTGAGACAACCAAGTTACATGAGATCAAAAGAACCACATACCCTTGGCCGTTCCCTGCAAACATCTCCAGGAAACAGGAGACAGCCATTACTCGCCTCAGGATAGGACACACACACATCACCCATCAACACCTCATGAAGGGAGAAGAACCTCCCATCTGCACCCAATGCGGCTCCCTACTTACTGTCAAACACATCCTCACAGAATGCCGAAGATATGAAAATGAAAGGAGGGAACTGAACCTTCCGGACCAGCTAGCCGAATCACTCAGCCCCGAACAGAGCAACCTAACAACGACGTTGGTTTTTTTACACAACACAGGACTTCTCAACAAAATTTAAGTTATATTATGTTATACTGTCTTTTCTTTCTTGTATTTTTTTTTTTTTTTTTTTTTTTTTCTTTTTTTCTTCTCCTTCATATTTAATGTATCTATATACAAAAATTTCTAACCCTGTATAGTATTGTATAGCATTAATGTCGTCCAATGGCCATAGTCGCCGCGGATATAATATAATAAAAAAAAAAAAAAAAAAAATAATATTTTATAAGTAAACATCATGTCGAACTTTCCACTCTCAGCGTTAAGTTCAGACGTGCAGTGAACTCTATATTGTACTATTTATACTGTAGACATACATCAGTAAGAAGTAACTGCGTATATGGTATATAGGTTATAGGTATAAGGTAGATGCCTACTGCTCTACTATATAGGATTCAAACGGTCGGAAAATAATATAATGATATCGCATTGTCTGGGTCGTATACAAGGGGAGAAGAAGGGGACAAAGAAATATAAAAAAAAATTAAACTAATTGTGTACTTTAATCTTTTAAATCAGGGGTGTAATTTCAACTTTTTAAAAGGTATGCTAACCACTATATGTAGGTAGGCCAAAAAAAAATCCAGCAGACCAATATAATATAATATTGTAACATAATAATTAGTACAAAAAAAAGAATCTTTATATTTTATATGTAATAATCTAATATAATATTATGAATATAGTATACCTAGGAATACTACCTACCTCTGTACTTAAATTATTTAAACTCAAATTTTATTATTATTACAGACACGCTATTATTAATTATATATTACCTATGTTTTGTTATTTATTCTTTTAACGTGCAGGTACCTAGGTTTAAATTTGTTCTATCCCCATAACCCCCCCCCCCCATACCAAATGTGTATATACGCCACTAGCATTGTCATTTATCGTATAAAATATTACATTTTACATTTTTATCTCTGAGATGATTCACGGTGTGCAGGTGTCTTCGCCCTGTTTTTATTCGAGCCGCTCACCGAGTACATCTCAACTTTGCCACTTTTCGGCCCCCTATTTTTCTGGCGAGGGACAAAACGAGGCAGAAGTTGAAGGTCGTATGGGAAGATTGTCTGCAATTCCATTCCACTGCATTGATCCATCCAGCCATGAACATCCAGCGTGTAAACAAACCACGTCGTGGTGGTTATGGTTGTAGATTAGCGTGTTTGAAGCCGCCTATAGCGCCAACAATGCAATGCCGTAATGCCCCAATGTTAATAATTAATAATAATAATAACAAAAATAATATTATATACAGTGGAAGAAGAGGAGAATTAGAGGTAAGTATACATTATTATATTATAAACTTATTACTTGTTTACAAAACATGATATGATCACACGCACTATGTGTATATTATATAATATAGGTACCTCTACACGCACTGTGTGTGTATATATATATTATAGTAATTTTTGCTCTCGTGTCTTTCACACGACCTGTGGAGTTTTTAATTAGATTTCGGTGACTGAAATGTTCACGTGCACTGCAATGGTCTATAAGGCAGCCACATCCGTCGGAGATGAAGAATGAAGAATATTTGTCGCTTCAAGCTAGACGTCGGGTCAAGCAATCCTACTGTTACTTGTTATTTTAAAACGAAAATCTGTATTTTAATAATAAGTTTTTGATAAAATAGATTTAATAAATCTTTAACTGACTCGGGTGAATAACAAACTATTCATTAGGTACCTACCGGTTACTAGTTATAACAACTTACTTACCTATTATAATTTATAATCCTTCATTTGAAATCTGATTTTAGCCCATCAATAGAAGTCTTCCAAAGTTCTGGGAAGGCTGTAAAAGCTCTGTACTATTATGCCTGGTGTGCAAAATCTTTACTTTAGAACACAATATATGGTTAAGACTGGCGAGTGGAGATGAAAGATTTCATATAAAACTTGAGGTTTTTAGCCGATTATTTACTCGTGGATAAGAGTTATACTCGTATTTTCATTAATTAGTATCAAACCTACTAGTTAGGTAAAATAATCTAATTTAAAGACTTGGTAACATCAAACAACAATATTTAAAGTCCATAGCCACCTGCCACTTGCTTATTCCCTTATATCTTCACTAGTAATAACGTTCTTTAGAATATTTCCTACAAGACGATGTAGTGCTGAATTTTAGCCTTGGAGCAGAGTTGTATGTGGTTTACTGGTTAGTGGCTTTACAAAATAAGTTCTAACATTTTAACGATCAATAAAATAATCTGCTAAAAGTTATAGCTAATCGTCCTCGCTACTATACAGTTATTTCCTGGATTTATTTAATAAATAAAGGATAATCCATATTCTTGCAGATATAAAAATAAAAGATATAATTCAACCGATGAACGATTTTACAAACGATGGAACAACATAACCATACACGTATACGACTGCGAGGTAATGACTTTATCTCCAACATGGCAACGCATACACGTACACGCATTAAGTTCCTGCGAAAACTCGTTAACCAACTTTCGCCATTAATCATATCTGCAAATTAATTGTCTGTAAATAGTATACCATTCATTTATTGTATCAAATAAATGTATGTAATTTTAAAAAGAAAAAATTGTGCAAAAAATATCGATCCAAGTTGAGCAAACTTATACCCGTATTTGCAACGTTTTCTGGACATAAAATTAATAAAATCGTCTTCTATTTTATTGGGTAATAATAATAATCCAGTGTTACTTAAATATGTCTGTGTTCACCTATTTATTTAACCTAACCTATTTGTATTGTATAATGCATAGTCAATTATTCTAACACAATAATTTGGGGTTTTTGACGATTTCAAGATTAAAAAATTTAAGTACCTAGGTAGGTACTTAAATATTATTTTAGCATAAAAAAGCTATATTTCCTATAATACAAATTAAATCCACTCACTAACAATAAAAATTAAGAACTTATAATTTAGAAAACAATTATATAAAGGAACTTCAAAAAAAAAAAAAAGTTTAACGATGCAACTTTAACGTGACTCTTAACTTTTAATAAAATAATGATGAAAAACTATTAAACTAAGATTATATTTGGCTAAGTAATTTAAAAATAACTCCTACACAACTTGTATTAGTCTACAAACCAAGTAATTTATTCGATGAGACAATAGAAAAAATATAATATACAAAGCCATTTTAAGTTTCGTTTAAATCGAAAATGAAAATAAAGAAATAGTAGATCATATTAATATACATTTGACGATTTTTTTTTTAAATTATATTTATATATTGCATATTAAAATTAATTAATAGCACGACTACACATAGTCTTAATTTATAAATGCACATTAATAGTCAATAAGTCTATCTATTTATAAATGTTTAAATCAGTGGTCAACTATAAAAAAAACTAAATCGGAAATTGGTATAAAAAAAAAGGTAGGTACTATTGAGGGCAACTGGTACACGCCCGCCGTAACAGTATGATTTATGGTCGAATATTTCTATTTTCTACGAAATACTAGGTAACACCAAAGTACAAAGTTCAAAGTCCGAACCGTTTATGTTGTTTCTCTAGGTAAGTATGGAAAATCAAAACCAGAATAATTCCGTATACATACTCAGCCTAAGAACGTCATAATTATTTTTATTATCAATTAAATATTTAACATCAATTTTTATTTTAACATGTTGATGTGCTCAACACTAATCATTTTAACTAGGTATTTAATTATCATAAATTATTGGTTGAATATATACAATTAGTTTCAATCTCATCAAGAATGTGTTAAAAGTTTTAAAACCAGGAAATGATCGTGTATAGTTTTATAATTTTATTGTTGTGTGTTTTTATTTTTTTATTTCACTCAAATACTATTTTTTTCCTTTTTTAACTTAATGATTTAATATATTAACCAGCCCTCACCATTTACTCAACATAATACAACCTTGGAGATTTTTACCAGTTACTTTATTATACTATATTAAATTTTTATCTTAATTTAGCGTTCTTTGTTGTTACTTATTATAATAGTTAAATTAATACTACCCATACATTTTTAACTAAGGAAATAATATGATGTCTACAATTGCGTATTACGGTTGCACTTGAGAATATTTTCGACCAAACAAGAAATTACATTACTCTTTGGACATACACGTCACACATACTCAAGTAGGTATTTTTATTAAATTTATAGCATTTTTAATTAGTAGATTTTATTGCTAAAATAAAATAGTTTTATTGGTATTACATGTTATATGATTTTAAATTATATGAGTGGAAGATGTTAAAAAGATCACGTAGGTACGTTTCATAATTTAATGGGATTAAAGTTTTTCGTTCGACAGTTTTGTACATATGAGTAATTATCTTAAACAGATTTCTCGTTAAACAAAAACATGTATATTATATTTTATATTTTTATTTAATTATTTGTCAACTGTCATAATAATTACAATTGACAATGGAAAATTTAATATTTCAACTATAACGTTATTATAATTACCTAGATAAACTATATTGATTAAGTATATTTATTTTTATAACATTGACATTTCTGAGTTCTGATAAGAATTTTTAAATAAAGTTCATTTGTAATGTATAATAGGCACCTACTGCTTTACGATCAGCATCGAGAGTACCTAGCAGTTTTTTAGCTGTGATTTAATTCTGGTTTAGAGTTATCAAATCATCATGATTCATGATAGGTATATATGCCATCGTGTATATAATATGTATGACATTTTTTGGTTCTACATTTAATCCTGTCCTGATTATTTTACAATTTACTTTGGTAAACGAGATAACACACCCCAAGAGGATTTTAAAACTCCCCGATGCTTTTGAGCATTATTTTTACTCAAATGTTATCGTAGCACTGATTTAAAATTAAAGTGTATCCAATATATTATATAGTATACTTAGGATACGTTTAGGTACCTATAGCATATAAACTAAATGTAAATTTCTTAATTTTATAGTGATTAAATTTGATTACCGTTTTGCAGTGTCCTTTATTTATTTTCATTAATCACATTACAGATTTATACACATGTAGGTACATATTGTACATAGTGTTTGGAAATTTTATGAAATTTAAAAAAATGAAATGTTTCATGAAATATTTCAGTATTTTAATAAATTTTGTTTTATTTTTAAATAAGTTTTATATTTACATATTATAATTGTCATGAATCACCTTCATAATTGTATGGTACCTAAATGTATACCCAACCTTTGGTATTATACATTTAAAATGGTATTCAACATTTTTAAATATTTTAATGTTTAAATTGTTTAAATTGTTTAAATGATACAAGGAGGTATACAATATTATTTATGTATGTTGTATACCTACTGAATTCTTACATTAGAATTTAGAACACTGAACATTGTGTTAAAAAAATTAATAAATTGTGTTAAGAGAAATTTCAATGTCTCACGTTTTTGTGAAATATTTTTAAATATATAAATATTTATATTAAATCAGAATACAGTAACGTTCACATCATTTGACTAAAAGTACCTATAACAAAAACTTATACAACGTAATTAAGTATATTTCTTTTGTGGCGTTCAAACAATGTCTTGAGTATTTATCGTACCTATACCACAATACAATATCCTGTATACAATAATATTACAATATTGACGCAATTATCGACTGAACGCAATAGTGGCATATTCATGGTACTTAAAGGCATAAGATATTAATATAACACATAATTTCAAAAGAAAACGTGTGTTGTATTCGCTGATGATAAATTTGATTAATTATTACGAAAACTATACCGAATAAATTAATTCATCAATTTGGTACCTACACTATCGTTTACAGACAAATACGCACGCATAATATTATTTGAGTTATTATTGTTACTACCATAGGCTGCACGGACTATAATCCACGACAATTCTACACCACAACATAATGATACCTAGGTATAGGTATAGGAACGCGATAATAATATTATAAATACCATGTACTTACCTGCCTACAAAACATTTCGATCGAAAAGCCTCACGTGTAACAAATTGTCGACACGTCTAGGCAAATAGCAAGTACCTATATATATATATATATATATATATAGGTATACCGCATACAGAGTAACATATTAAAACTTGTGTAACAAGAATTATCGTGTAGTGAAATTTTTATTCATGACGTGTGAAAAACTTCAATACAATGCTGGCCGTAAAGTTCTGTATA